TGAAACCGAACAGGAAAACTTTAATGGGGGGATTAATGTTGGTACGTAAATACTAGGCTTAAAAATAAACATAAACCAGTAGCTATGCAATCCATATTCTCAGGAGCAAAAATTCTGTGACCTGCTGCTGTTAAATCTTGAAATCATGCATATCAAGCAAATAAGTAGATTAAAAAAAAACCTAATTCTACTTTAATCTCCAATACAGATTTCCCAAAAGTTTTTGAATTGGATCCTACCTCCACCCCTTATGCACATTAGGGAAATTGTATCTGGTCATTTTCAGCTATATAAACAGAGAGCAAACCCCATCCCATTCTAGCACTGAAGATGTTACCTAGCCAAGTAACGAAACATTTGCAAGAAAAGAACCAAGCTCAGAGAACCCCAAGGACTCCACATTTTCTACACCGCATCACTGTCCTCAGTGCGGATTGTTGATGCGGTCGCAACCATTTTGCTAGTCATTTCAGATTGGGGCCACGGATTTATTCAGCCATTCAAAAGTCTTTGCTCAACAAACTCCTTTGGCTCATGAGCAGAGAGATGTACAATTTTAAAAAGAAAGGCCAGCAGCTGTCCATAACTTTTTTTTTTTTTTCCTGCGTTCCTTCACCAAAAACTGCAGCACAGTTCAGCAGATGCAAGTAAGTTTCTATAGAGAAGAATGAGAAAGAAGTGAAAGGAAAGACGGTCCCGCTCAGGGTGACCTGCTGGCTTGTATGGATGAATCATACGATCATTCAGTCATGTGAATGGATCAATCACCTGCATGACTTTCCCATTTTTGCCCCAATCAGAGTGTGATTGGGTCTGTGTATGTGTGAATGGCCTTGATCTCTCCTGGCCATAGTGTTGTGAACTGGAAGTTTAATTCTGTTTTTTGTGTCTATTCGCAGATCTCCCTCTGTTGTTTAAAAAAATAAAAAGGTAAATAGAAGCTTCTTTAGACCCGGCTGGTTCCTCCCCCGCCCCTTTAAATCCCACTAACCTTACTGGGGATCTCTCTCCCCGGTTCGTGTCTGCATCGGCAGGGCCTCCTTTTAATTAATCCACAGGTTCTTTGATTTTGTTAGCGCCTGCGTGCCAGAATTAGCTCAAGTGGAAGGAAAAAGGATGCTTCCGTAATTTGATGCTATTTCAATCTTGCTGTGGTTTCTTTAGGAAAACTCCCCCCTTGTTTTTAATATTAGAGTCAACAGGAAGTTAATCGGTTTTGGTTTTGATTGTGGGCAATGATGCAGCTCAGGTAGGAATTAATTTAAGCAGTTCTTCCTACAAAACACCCTTTGGCTACAGTCTTGAGCTAGAAACCACAGATTAGAAAATAGGGGTGAGTGTTATACATTTGCTGAATTTTCACATACTCAACAGGACACACGCACATGTGAAAGCACTTAGCTTGGCATTCTTGATTACAATAAGGGTTTGAATTTTTTTTTTAGATGTTTTATCCTGCCTTTATTATTTTTTATGAATAATTCAGGGCAGTGAACATACCTAATACTCCTTTCTCCTCCTATTTTCCACACAACAACAACCCTGTGAGGTGGGTTGGGCTGAGAGAGAGGGACTGGCCCAAAGTCACCCAGCCAGTTTTCATGTGTAAGGCAGGACCAGAACTCACCATCTCCTGGTTTCTAGCCTGGAGTGTTCATCACTAAACCAAATTGGATTGTGACTTCCCAGAGGGGTATGAGCAACTTCAGTAGGGTTGGAAAATTTTGTAAAACCTGGTCTGGCTTGTACAGGCAAGGTGGGAATGTTGGTAAAACTCACTCTGGGCCTTACTCCCTCCTTTATCAGTGTAAGATCTCTGTGTGCCTGTATAATATCCGTCCATATCCTTCCTGACCATAATCCCAGTGAAATCATAATTTGATTCACGGGGGAAGTTACAGAAATGTTTTATTTTAGGGTGCTGTGGTGCCACAAAATTTGAGAATCCTTGCATTAAAATGTTACAGCTTTGATTAATATTGTCAGCCTAATAAAATAGAATACTTCTCCTATTAAATGCATTTTTTTGCAACCAAGCTAAGCATAGTAGATTATATTTACTCTCCTGTGACCGGGAATATCATAAAGAAAGTCACAGTATGCATTGCCTGTGATTCTACCAGCCATGATCCCAGCAACGGAAGGGCTGAAGTGAGTCTCAAGGCATGCTTCTGTATCCAACAATAACACTTCCTGAGTGCATCTTTCCCAATAGCACACATCCAGATAACATGTATGGGTTAGTATCTCTCTCAACTGCAGCTGTGTTTTTTTTCCATTGCATATGCTCCATGATATTGCAGTGATTTTTTTTTTTTAAAAAAAAATCATGATTTGCCTTACAGAAGAAAAGAAATGTACTCATCAAAGGGGTTCCTGGAAAGCTGTATTTGGCCACCTTGGTAACTGCCAGCATTTTATTAAAAAAAAGGAATCACAACAGTCCAGGTCTATTCTAAAGGGGCAAGTTGGTAGAAAGAATGAAAACAGATACTGAATCACAAATCAGAATTACTTTAGCTGGATCAAAGATAGTCTAGCTTGTGTATTTTGATAAAAAGCTCAAACTGAACAGCAGAGCGAGACTGGAAAGAGTGAAATGTGGAAGTTGGCCCCTGTGTGCAGCCAGGTTAAGTTCAGGATGTGAGTCTTCCCTGCAGAAGCACGTGGGCATTGATCATGAGGCTGGAGGACTTTAAATGTCAGGCCCGTGGCTTGCCACCTTCAGAGGGCAAAGGGAAAAAAGTTTACAAATCTAAATTAAAACACACACCCCAGGAACAGAGAACATGGACATCAGTTAAGGCCTGAAAAGCAAAAACCCCTCACCTTTCAAGCAGTGCAATGAGCAGAAAACAAGGAACTGATAACCATGAAGGACAAGAAGAAGAGAGGCATTTAATGGAAGGAGTAGGATGTGAAACTGGAAGGAGGAGCCAGATGCAAAGCAGGGTTCCCAAGTTGTTCAGTTTGAGCAACAGCAGCGTCACCAAGAGATTGGGTAGGTGGAGCTCCATAACGATTGATCGAAGTCAAGGCGAGCAGATGAACATTGTCAGAAAGTAGATCTTGAATTGGGAACCCTGGACCAGGAATGGCCTTATGGGATTTTAAGTCCCATAATCCTGTGCTGGCTGGGTGATTATGGAAACTTAGATCCACCCCATAGAGGGTGCCAAGATGGAGAAGGCTGATAGAAGTCGGACATGTGTGCTATTTTAGCCATCACATCTTCTCCATGTTGTGTGTTTGTCTGTGAACATTAATCTTGTGGTATCTAAAGGAGGTTTCTCCTGGATGCTTGCTTTCTGTTTTCATCCAGCAAGGAAATCAGGAAGAACCAACAACTGCAGTTCGTCCTCTCCTCCCCTCTTCACTGAGATGGGTGGGATTCCAGGAAACAAGACCAATGATGTCTGAGCATGTGCAAACCAGCCATGGTTTAGGGCCACGTGGAATAGGCTGTTAGAACGTGGTCTCTTCCATCGTCTCTTATGACAGTGTGTGAACGGGGGCTGCGCAGGAAATTGAATCTGTATGTCTGCAGAAGGTCCGTAGTTTTAACCCGTGCCTGGCGAGGCTCTCCCAGTTCCTCTGTGACTGTGCAGAATCACAGTATTGGAAGATTCGTTCGAGGTCATTTCATTCAACTGTCTTCCTTTCTTTGAGATTATTCAAAAGGTTAAAAGGCAGGATATACTTTTTAAATACCATCATCATCGTGTAAATTGCTGCCCTGGAAAAAGGAAGTCCAGGCTATGCTAAATACCTCTAGGGCAGTGCTTCTCCGTCTTGGCAGCTTCAAGATGTGTGGACATCAACTCCCAGAATTCCCCAGCCAGCATGCTAGCTAGGGAATTCTGGGAGTTAACGTCCATACATCTTAGAGGAAGCTCACCATTTTTTATGAACTCGTATTCACCTTTCAGGCAGTTCTTATCAATTCTTCCTAAGTTAGCTGAAACCCTAACCCTGATCCTAAATTAGCTGAAACTCAGCGGCACCATCATGGATTTTGGATGTGCTGGAAACTGGACGGCGGGCCTTCTATGGAGGAATCAGTTGCCTTGTCACAGAGGGTGGCTGCTGTAGAAAACATGCTGTAACATTAAGAAGCGGTTTAAAGCAACATATTTTGTAGGCCAGTCACCAAAAATTAAATTTAGGGAAGGTCTGTTGGACTCAGTACTGGTCTTACGGTGTGGTATACACGCTAACCCATTCTGGACAAGGTGATAATGCAAGCATGGTGGGCATTCTTAAACCAATTTTCCTGATGTGGTTCTAGACTTCAAATCCTGTTATCTTTGGTTGGTACAGCCAATCTGAATGGCCCCACGCTGGCTTGTCCTTTGGATGAACCAGAACTCAGGTCATTCTGTGCAAAGCAAGTATACATTGATGGCTGTGTTCCAAACAATCAGATGAAATGGTGATGTCTTGCTGTTTTCTATCGTACAAAATAAAACAGATGTTCTTTAAAGAGGCAGAGGAGTTGAACATTTCAAATAGCACCCTCGTATTAGCCTTTCTTGAGGCCTTTGTCAGGTTTCTCCCTGGCAAGCTGGACTGGAATAGCTAAACAGGTACCCAAAGTAATCAAAAGAATGACCATCGGTTCATTATTTTGATAACAGCCAGGTTTGGTATCAGGCTTCTGACTGTATGGGAATGAGAACCCATAACTCTGCAGTTTGATTAGGCATTTAAGGGTAGATGATTGGTGTCTTTTTTTACTGGATGAGCATTTGTGTTTAAATGTACTGTTTTTATTGTTGTAGTTTGTTATATTTCTTGTAAGCCGCTAGGAGTGATTTTGAGTTGGGTGGTATCAAAGCACCTGTAATAAATACATACCTGTACAGGTAGTCCTTTGCTTTACAGACCTGCAAAAGTTGTAAAGTTACTTTTTCATCTCCGTCGTAACCGCAAACAGTCGCTCTCTGAGGCAGTCACTAAATGAGGACTACCTATAATCAATACATACTCTTGGTTCACAGCTGGTCAGCGAGAAGGTTGGTGGGGCTGAAGGAACCAAGTTGGATGAGGACTTCAAAGAAATGGAGAAGGTGAGTAACCAAATTATAACCAAATAATGCATGAAACAATGGGATGAATACTGTATACATGCATGCAATGCCTTTGGTATTCCCTGCAACTATATCCAGCCCAAGATAGACTCTCTTTGTAACAACATTTAGCTGACCTTAGCTGTTCCCCAAAACTTAGCAGAGCCATAGAATCATAGACTACTGGAATTGAAAGGATTGTTTAATTTTAATTTAATTTTACAATTTAGAGGCCGCTCAATTCCACAAGACTCTGGGCAGCTTACAACTTTAAAAGCAAGAAACAATAATGAAGGAACCAAATTCATAGACATACAGAAAAGAACAACCCATAACATTAAAAAAAAACTACAAGGATCATATCCCAAGGCCTGGGAGAATAACTAGGTTTTCAACAATTTCCTGAACATTGTCGTGATGGGAGCTGTGTGGATCTCTGGGAGAACGCTGTTTCAGAGGGCAGGTGCTGCCACAGAGAAGCGAGTTCCTAGGTCCTAATAGATAGCATTGTTTAACTGAAGAGACCTGGAGCATACTCGGTTTTCCCGATCTTAGAGCTAGTCCAGCCCTTGGCAGTGTGCAAGGAAACTAATTCAGTCATCCTCCAGACTTAGCTGACCAGCCTCTTCCTAAAAACGTCCAGAGTTGGAGAAGCCACAATTTACGTAGCTAGGCTCTTCCACTGTTGGACTGATTTTACCATCCTGGTCAATTATGGTTAAGGCTTAGAAAGGAGACCACAAGGAACAACCAGGGCTAGAGGCTGAACTGGGAAGTCAAAACGCCGTGGCAAACCACTTCTGCATGCCAAGAAAACTGCAAGACCTGAGCTTGACTAGATGGAGACGTATTTTTATTTTACATAAGACAGTGGTAAAGTCCCTTACTTGTGTATCAAGGTTCCCAGTTTAATCTACCCCCTAAGGCAGGGAAAATGATCCATCTGTTATCTGACAAACCAGTGCCATTCCACATCGATAACACCAAACTACTGTATATGACGACAGCCCGCACAGAGTATATCTTAAATGTCAGTGTTTTTTTTTTCCAGTGCATTTTCTTGCCACTGTGTTCCAGACATGATGTCAAATTATTTATTTTAATAAGGAGCTTGCCAAGCACCTTAACTGATGTTACTTTGCTTTTTTTAATTAAAAAATGCATTTGCAAATTTCCCTGGGAGCACATACAAAACCCTTTAAATTCACAAATCTAAACCAGAAACTTAAAAAAAAACTAGCACGTATATAAACACCCAGACAGGCAGTAATACTTGTCAGGAAAAATAAAACCAAATTTCCATTGCACGTTAAATGTTAACATATTCAAAGCATGGAATATTAACTGATTGAAAAGGCCTGGCAGAATCAAAACATCTTTGGCCTGGCAAATATAACACCAGGCAGTTCTGATGGGGAGGGCATTCCAGAGCTGGGTGTGGCCACTAATAAAATGATTTGCTCTCAGGTAACCAACCTGCACATTTCAGCTTGGCAAAGTACTTGGAGTAGCGCTCAAAAGCACAACAGCACCCAGCCCTCTTATCTTTTAAAGTGGATTGATTTCATTTTTAGTTTGCTTAAGAACAAGAGAAGTCCTTTAGACCAATTCCATAATTCATAAAGACAGGATGACAAGATTTCCTTCTCCTGGCAGCCAAAGGTTGTCATTGTTCTCTTTACTTTGCAATGAAAGGACTCAAAATCAAAGCAATTATTGATTGGGATTTTTTCCCCATTCTTTCCTTACGATGTTTTCAAAAGGGACGCTGTTAGGGAAGTCGGTTTTTCAAACACCAGTCGCTGGCCAGCGCAAGAGAAGAGGGGTCAGCAGATTTGGGGGCACCCATGCCTTGCAAAAGTACAAAGTATTTTCAGGGGAGATGCCTTTCATTCATTCACTCACTCACTGACACAGTCGCTGTCAGCCTTGCAAGGTAGTCCAGACAAGAAGCACACCCAGGAGTACTAGCTCTAACTTTATTATAAGATTACATTGACAGAATCTTGCAAGTCTGAAAGTACATCTCTCCCCCATCACCTTTACAGTCCAAGAAACTAGGGAGGTTCCTTCTGAGACATTTGCCACGTCCCCATTCCTTCTGCGGGCTCAGCTGACGCTTATCTGATTGTTGTCTAGTCTGTGGCTCTTCCTCCTGTCTCCCATGGTCATTCCCACATAGCATTATAGTCATCCAAACACCCACCCACCCACCTATCTGATTTATATCCTGACTATTTATTTTACCCTTAAACAGGAGAGGTAACCTTTGGGTGGCTTCACATTTTGGGAGCCCAGGGGTCCCACTTGGTGGCAGGTGGACCTCATACTTTACTTGGTCTGGGAGTCCGTTTTGACAGTGGTGATGGGTCCTGACTTTTTTGTTAAGCCTAACGCAGAATTTGATCTACCATTGTCTCATGTTTCCTGCCTCAAAATGATGAGCTGTTATACCATCAGTTTTCAGCTGTGGTGATCAGAAGAAAGTCCAAGGGCTGCCAAGAAAGGTGTCAGGTTCAGGTTCGAGGGCTATGAATTTTGTATTTTAGTTATTTAGGGATATTTTTATTTGTTTATAAGGTCTAAGGTACCCACCCAATATGATTAGCCATCGCCAGCTTAATGATACCTCCAAAAATGAAGTTAATGGACCCCCTTATTACCTCATTTTTATTATGTTGTCAACTCATGACTTCTATTTCTACAGAAAGTGGACCTTACCAGCAAGGCTGTTACAGAAATCTTGGCAAGAACGACAGAATACCTTCAACCTAACCCCGGTAAGAGTTGTGCCATCATTGGCAAATGCTGAGTTTGTTCCTTCCATTGTGTTTCTGTTGTGAGAAACCTGCATTGGCCATTTTTCCCTTGGAGACCTAAAAAGAAGTCCCACCACCTCTTGAGGGGAAAAAATGCATTGCTTGGTTACTGTTCAGTGCTAGGCAAGAGGAAACACTCCAGTGGAAGGAAGAAAGAGAACTTCACAAAACACATTGGTGCAGCCAAGCGGTCATTTTCATTTGGTGATTTTGTGGCCAGACATCTTCATTTCATTTATATCAACCTTCTTGAACTTGGAACCTTCTGGGTGGGATGGTCTCTAGCCCCTGTAATTACTCAGGAGCCAGCACACTTGCAAAGGCAGCAAGTTGAGGAAAGTTATGATTCTGCAATGTACGTGATCTGGAGGGGTCTGCTAGACCAGTGTTTCTCAACCTTGGCCACTTTAAGATATGTGGACTTCAACTTCCAGAATTCCCCAGCCAGCCATGCCAAAGGTGGAGATTGCATCCAGGATAGCTTGCTATGCAGTCTTGGAGCAAAGCCCAGTCCTTCATGATCTCCCCATCTCTGTCAGGATTATTGCAATGACTTCCCTTCGGGTTGCCTTTCAAGACTGCTTGGAAACTACCCTTGGTCCAAAATACAGTTGCCCATTTAGTGACCTACCTGGGTTGACGTAACAGAATAACCACTCAACAGTAGGAACTACGATGGTTGCTGCTAGGTTTCTGGGTCTGGTTGAAAAGGCTGGTTAAGATCCCTTTTTGGCTTAGATCCTCGGTTTCCGCAGGAGCATCTTGTCCGAGTAGAATCCACCCTCCCTGGACATGTCTTCTAACTAGGGAGGTATCTTCCCGGTTCCTTCCCATCTGGAGGTCCAAGGGATGAAGTGGTAGAAGCCAAGTTTTCTGTGGTCAGCCTGGGCCTATAGAACCCTCTCCTCACCAGGATTTGAAAGGCTCCCTCCCTTTACCTGGCAGGAAAGACACTGTACTGATCTGTGGGAATATCCTTGAGAGACAGGAGGAGGAAGAGCCGCAGCCAAGGTGATGGTAAGGTGAGGGACCTCTCAGCCCACAGAAGGAATGGGGGCATGGAAAGCATCTCAGAGGGAACCCTCCCCAGTTCCCAGGAAAGCAAAGGGGCGGAGGAGAGGTGTGTTTTCAAACTTGCAAGATCCTGTTACTGTAACCTTACAGTAAAGGTAATGTTGGTACTCATGGTTCTGGTTTCTTGTCTGGAGCTCCTCGAAGGGCTTGACATCAATCTTGCAAGTCAGAAAGGATGCCTCTCCCCCCTCACCTTTGCTTTCTGGGGAATTGGAGAGGGTCCCCTCCGAGACGCTTTCCACGCCCCCATTCCTTCTGGGGGCCGAGAGGTCCCTCACCTCACCATCGCCCCAGCTGCAGCTCTTCCTCCTCCTGTCTCTCAAGGACGCCATATTCCCACAGACTGTTATGGACTGCCCACCTCCACTGGGTTTCTGGGGCATAGGTAGTCTGTAAGGGTGGCTGATGTTTATGGTGTTCTGTGTCTGAGGTTTATCCTAGGTTTTTACCTTGAATTTGAGGACTTTAGATGGTGATGATTTTTTATCTTTGACTGCTGAGAACCACCCAGAATCTAGGATGGAAATGGCTTCCAAATGTTGCAAAATGAGTAGGGAAGTAAATACAGGCAATCCCCTGGTTAAGAACGAATTCCCTTCCTAAGTCTATTTTGAACTCGAATTTGCAAGCCAGAACTCATACTTACGAACGGGCTGCCTATTGATGGCTGGTGTGGGTCTTCCGGGCTGCCTATTACTAAAAATGGTGGACAGCGTTCTCCTTCCTTGAGCTGATGAACCGCTGAAGCCACGCAAAGTTTTCATGAACTGCTATAAACCGCTGAAAACAGGCTGTATATTAAAAACATGCGGTTTTAACGGTTCATGAAAACATTGTGCGGCTTCAGCAGTTGTTGGCTCGAGGAAGGAGAATGCCTCCACCATTGTCCGTTGTCCATAAGTTGGATGTTCATAACCCAGGGACTGCTTGTAAGGGTAATGCCTGGGCCAAAATGGCTTTCACAGACTTTTGTCATCTCTCTTCCCCAGGACCCTCAAAATTGCACTGTCAACATTCTATTAAAAATTATCCATTCTCAGTAGGGTTACTGCTGTCTATTTTTCATAGAAACATAGAAGGGTGGGAAGGGACTTTGGAGGTCATCTAGTCCAACCCCCTCCAGTGCAGGAACATTGTTTTGTTTTAAAGATGGAGTGCCAATGTCTTAAGCTTCTGGTAGGCAAAATGCCCACCCAAAATCATCCTTGCCCCTCTGATGATGTCCCCTTATTGCCAACACATCCTTGGAAATTCTGCTTGCATGTCCCCCCACCCCAATATTTCTGGAAGCCATCCCAAAAGCAAGACCAAGAGCCAACAGGAAGGCTATCAAAAACCTGGAACTAAATAGCTTTATTAGCCCTAACCATCCCACTTAACGTTGGGCACAGAAGTGGATCGGAAGCCGTGCAAGACAACCTTGTATTGCGACATCGCAACCCAAGTTCTGCCTTTCCGTACTTCCACGCAACGTGCCAATCCAAGTACCAAAGCAGAGCTCTGCCAGGTGCACGGGGCAACAAGAATTTTAATCAACCCTGGGGGTGGATGATCTTCCCTGAGCTACTTGCCAGTTAACATCAACTCTTCGACTATATTTATTTCTTATTTATTTAGATCTGTTTTATATTGTATTTTTAACTGATTTTAGCTTCACTGTAAACCGCCCAGAGTTGTGTGTTTTTTTTTAATGCAATGGGCGGTGACAAATTTGATATATAAATAAAAATGAAAAGGGGAGGAATCTTCACCAAGGCCCGGCGATGCACGTTCTGTCACCCGCCCCCCTCTTGGCAAAGGCCCCTGGGCAAGCGGGCCTCGATTCTTCTTGGAAGGGGTGCTGTTGTAAGCACGCTGGTCTGCAGTTCATTGGAGGGCTGAGAAACCCGGTCCCAGCCCACTGGGCCGTCACCGGCCCCCTTGGTCATGGAAAGGGACCCTGAGCAAATGGAGGGCTGCGGGTGAGGCTTCCCCAGCTGGGATCTTTCATTTGCAGTGGCTGTTGCCACAGAAAGCTGGGCTGATCCGGCCAGCAGGGCAGATTCTTGTGACCTGCAGTCAGTTCTTGGAACCAGCCTGTGTTCCAGCACACTTTCCAGCCACATTTATGAGAAAAGCCCTCCAGGGATTAATTGGGACTTGGCCGAAAGGCTTAAGACATTTCTCTTCGCCCCCCTTTCCCCCCTCCCCCTCCTCTTCTTTTTTTTTTTTTTTTGGCAAGCTTCACCCAGAGCTATTTTCTGCTTCCTACCTTGGAAAGCAGCCTTGCTTTTAAAAGCAAAGGAGCCTGTGATATTTCTGGATGATTCAGGCGATAGGTTTTCTTGGCCAGCGAGCCGGTCTGTGATTTCTTTTCAGAATTGGAAATCAGGTGACCCTGAGCAAGGCTGCAGAATGGAAAGTCAACTGTGGCTGCTTTTTTCCCCCTTGTGCCAGCGTCCCGGGCAAAATTGACTATGCTGAACACGGTATCCAAGATCCGAGGGCAAGTGAAGAATCCAGGGTACCCCCAGTCCGAAGGCCTCCTTGGCGAATCCATGATCCGATATGGCAAGGAGCTGGGCGAAGACTCCAACTTCGGTGAGCATCTGTCGCCCTGATGAAGCAATGGGTGCCTCCAGTTTGCAGAAAGTAAAATTCTATGTCCAGGTTTAAAAAACAAAAACAGAAAAACACTGTTCCTATGTCCACATAATACACTATGTCAGCATGAACCAGGTCTTGGCTGAGTATACTGTCCCAGTTCACACCCTGCGAACAATGACTGTGACTGGATTTCCAACAGCGTGCTGAATCATAAACACTCCAACTCCATTTTAGCCTAATTTAAGGTGTTCTACAAACCTAGCTGCTGTTCTGAGAGGAATGAGTTTAAGTCAGAGCAGAAGAATTTGTTCTCTCTACCTTAAAGAAAAATGTGGAAGATGCTTGTATGTGTAGGGTGGGAGAAAAAGATTCCCTCTGTTGGGGAGATGCTTTTATTGGGTTTCCACTTATACCTAAAGGTGCATTTAGGATAGCATCCAAGTGCCCTAACAAGCCCACGAGGAGTCTCTGGCTTCAGCACCCACTTCTCACATCTCCTCCTCTTCCTGCATAACTGACAGAAGAACTCCTACTAACTGTACTTGAAATGATTCCTGGTTTCTTTTTAAGATACACACTGTGGATCATGGTTTATAACACATGGATGCGTTCTGCAAAATAGCGAGACATTCCAGAGTGTGTAGTTGGCTTGTACAGGGCTTCTTCATGCCAGCTGATGTCTTCCAGATGTGGTGGACTTTCAGAACTGTATTTAACTTTGGAGGGATGTGCTAGGGACTGCATTCCAAAAAATAGACAGGCCCAGGATACAGGAGCTGGGGAAGAACAAAAATGGCATTTGATTGAATTTAAATTAATTAAATTAAATTTATATTAAACATTTTCGTGCCAATTTTGGAGGGTTTTAAGAGTTGTAGCAAAGTTTTTGTGGGCCTTGGAACTCAGATTGTGTGTGTCTGTTTTAAATCATGATTTTTAATTCATTTGTAATGATCAGCCGGGAACTGGGAGAAAACAAAACTTGGGTCAGCTGTTGTGCAGGAAAAGGAGAGGAGAGATTATTGTATGTGCCCCATCCTTCTTCTCCTGAGTTCTCATTATACAGAATTCCATATTTATCTAATTTTAGCAACCTCATTCAGAGAGTGACTTCCCATATAGGCAAAATAGTATGTGAAAAAATAAGCAAGGATTAGACAGAATCAAAGAATCATAGAATGTAAGAACTGAAAGCAATTTCTGAAATCATCTAATCCAACCCCCCAGACCCTTCTAACCTTCCATTCTATGATTTCTTCCCTTTGGGTTTTTTCTCCTAAAATACTAGTTGAGGATGCTAAGAGTTCCCAGAGTACTACAAATTAATTTAGAGCAGGATAAGGAACTGGATCAGAAATCAGTGTGGAAGAATGAAATGTAAGAAGATTTAAAAATTATGCTTGCTGGTTGTAAAAACAAAGTTAAACTAAATCTTAAACAGTTATGGGCAGACTCCTGGAACCTGAATAATATGGAACAGTGTTTCTCAACCTTGGCCATTTTAAGATGTGTGGACCAACTCCCAGAATTCCCCAGCCAGCATGCTTTTATTAGAACAGCTATAGTAACAGAATCTTGCAAGTCTGGATACGCTTCCCTTCCTCTTTTACCTCCTTCATCTGGACTCAAGCCTCATTTATCTGATCATGCTTCTCTCTCTCTCCTTTAAAGCCATCCTCTGTACTCAATACAGACAATGCAT